GGTTCTCACTCTGATGCAGCAACAAGGACACACACACACACACACACACACACACACACACACACACACACACACACACACAGGGACTGATGGTGATTGGCCAGCATCTGTAGCATCTGTAGTTAGCCTGCAGCCTTTAGTTTGTCTCTCAGATCCTGTTGTGTCAGCTGCTTGATCAAAAGCGGTTTATAAAACAGGACCTTTGTCCATGTGAGGTTTTAACTTAAGGAAACTAGCAACCGTTTGTCAGAAACTCCTTGGAAAATCTCCGGGTTGATCAGGTCCTTCACTCACTAAGTTCTAGCATGGCTGCTAATTCAGCTGGTTTTGGCTCATCGTACATGGACAAAAACCAGCATGCATCAGAGACCTTCTGCTCACGTGGACTCTGGCCGGTCCCTGGGGTCATGTGACCTGCTGACTGAGCATCACACATTTCTGAGGACTAAAGGAGGCACGGCTTTAGAGACTGGCCTCCAGACTCTGGAACTCTCTCCAGCTGAGCCTCAGATCTGTCATTTCTTCTGAGAAAAAAAGAGCTAAAAACTACCTTAAACCTTACTTTAAGACTTTTTAAAAAGGACCTTTGGTTAACATATTTATGCTCTAACATTATGTTATCAGTCACTTTGTGGTTTGCACATTGTTTACTTCCATAATTCAGCTCAATCCAAGATAAATAAATACATTTAAATGGTTTGAGGATTGCAGCAGCTCTGATTAACTCAAACAAAGTCAAGCACACCTTAAAAATGCCGTCCAATATGTCAAACAGAACATGATGTAAACACACCGTTGCTATGGAGACCTAAACTTAGTACTGACTGAGTTAAACTTGTGTAAATAAACAGGACGTTAGGAAGGATGCTGTGCCCATGTAGGCGGCTAAAAGCTTAAACTAGCAGAGAATTAGCCACAAGGGGCCATGTTGCTTTCTCTCTGTACATTTTTATTTATGTATTTATTTATTTTCTGTGACACTAAAATACCGAGGAAAAACGCTGGTCACGGTGCTGCGTTTAAATGCATACTGTAGCAGAGGAAATGAGAACTATGACCATTATCCAGTATTTAGCGAAACGTTACATGACAGAGATTATTAC